TCCAAAGTGCCCCAAGAGCAAATCTAAATGTTACTGAAACAACCTGTTTACTTTTACTCTCAATTATAGCTCCATATTTCCATGCCTCCACTTTTCACTAGCGAATTTGGTCCCCTCTGGTCCAGGTAATTTCAGATCCTATGAATTTTGTGTGCTGCTGTAGGATAAGCACTAGACTACAAGATCAATTTGAACCAAAAGGTTGGCAGTTCAGATCCACCAGCTGCTCCTTGGAAACCCTACACAGGTCACTATGAGTTGGAACCGACTTGACAGCATTTAAAAAAAATCAAACAACACAAACATGAATTACTTGACTTTAAAGGGACAAAAAGAAAAAAAAAAAATCATAAAAGATCACCACTATTATCAGTGGGGAAAGTCTAAATATTGTAACCTTTCTAACACTATTCCTTTTTAATGACCACAGCATACAATGAGTCAAAACCCCCAGTCAATAGTACTAACTTATAGAGTCCAAACATGCTAGGACCATTGTGCTGTATCCTCCATTACTTTGTAGGCTTTTAATTATAAAACTTAAAAGATAAATTTGGAATTATCTAAACCTAAAAGCACACGGACAAATTAGTGAGCTTACACTTGCTTTTATTCATCTGTAAAATTGAAATGACCCTTATCACTACTTCACAGAGCAGACATGAAGAATCAACATAAAGGCTTAGGACAGTGCTTGGGATATATAGAGAGTGTTAATAAGTATAATCTATTTGTGACAATATCTTGGGATATGCAATCTCAGGGAAACAAGACTGATGAAGAAGGGAGAATTGAGTCTCCTTTTAGAGAAATTGAGGCAAAGAAAGAAGGAAAATCTAAGACAAAAGATGCAATAGTGAGCTGGCCACAGCTACCTAAGAAAATACAGTTCATTGATGTTGTTAAGTGCCGCAGATTCAGTTTCAAGTCATAGTGACCCTGTGTAGATTTTCCAAGGAGCAGTTCGTGGGTTTGAATCAACCTTGTGGTCAGCAGTCCAATGCTTATCCTACAGC